TCATAAATGTTGCAGAAGTTGGTCGCCAGCTAACTATGTGGCATTTTTATCCAATCGCAGTTCTTGCTTGGGAGTAACAGAAAATGATCTGAGTAGAGTAAAAACGCTTTTGCAACAGTGCGCTTATTATTACTATAATCATAAGTTATTGCCTAATTGTGCAGAAGATTTCAATTGCCAAAAAGATGTGCCAACTGAATGTTACATGAGAAATGCAGCTTACCATTTGCTGCACTATCTTTTGGACGTTAATTTTATTCCGAATCCGGTAAGAATATGCCTTGTTTTATATCACTCCATAATGCGAATATTTATACTTATCCATTATTCTAATATTTAATATTGGATTATTACAGAAGATGGATCTGAAAAATACACAAAACTTGACATTGCAATCTGCCATGTTATTTCTTCCAATTGCGGCAAGCTCTGCAACTTTAGATTTTTACAAAGCGATAGAAAATGACGATTTAATGTATGGAAACTTTCGTGTTCAAGGCATGCAACTTGGCCTAAAAAGTACATTGTTTGACCGACTATTAGTATCTGACTCAAGTTTGGTACTTGTTGGTTTTATCTTTGTTACTCTTTGTATTTGGACATACACTGGCTCTATAGTGTTGACTATAACAACAATTTTCGCGGTGCTATTTAGTCTTGGTATCTCGTACGCGATATACACTTTAGTGTTACGTATTCAATTCTTTCCCTTTATGAATCTACTGGCCATTGTTGTTGCTGTAGGTAAGTATTTTTGTATTAAAATATATATTTATACATTATTTTTTAATAATTTTTATACAATTAACGATACATATTTATTTATAGATATTATACACTATTATGATAAAATTGTTACAGGCATTGGAGCAGATGATGCATTTATATATTGTAAAGTATGGGAATCTGGAAAGCAGCAGAAGCTTTCCAATGGCGAATTAGTACATTTGGTACAAACGACGATGAAACATGCTTTTCCGTCGATGTTTGTGACATCTCTCACTACAGCAGTAGCTTTTTTTGCATCAATTGTTAGTAATGTGACTGCTATCAATTGTTTCAGGTACTAATTTGATTGTACATAAATACCATTCTTTTAAATATATTTAATATGTTCTTAAATATA